CCCCCCCCCCCCCACACACACTCACACGGGCGGAGGGAGACCAGTGTCCCACCGCTGGGGAGACAAACGGTGGGTGGAGCGGAGCCGGGGGGTGGGGGGAGCCCAGGGGGAGGACTGGGTAGCTCCGCTCTCCCAAAGTGACCCCTCCCTCCCTCCCTCCCCCTTCCCCTACCCCCCTGCAGTCCCACATTGGCCGTGAGCGCAAGGAGGACGTCACCTACGACTTCCACTTCGACCGGGTGTTTCCCCCGTCCAGCTCTCAGGAGAGCGTCTTCGAGGAAATCGCCCTGCTGGTCCAGGTGGGGTGGGGGGGAGCGGAGGGGCGTCTGGTGGGTGGCAGGGGGTGCTCCCCCCCCCTTGGCCAGGTGTTCATCCTCCCGGGCTCTCCTCTTCCTCCTCCCTCTGCCAGTCAGCCTTGGACGGGTATCATGTCTGCATATTCGCCTACGGGCAAACGGGAAGTGGCAAGACCTACACGATGGAGGGCCCCGAGGACGCGGCCCCCGAGACGGCAGGTGTGATTCCTCGGGCCGTGAGGCGGATCTTCGAAACCTCCCGTGAGATGGAAGCCAAGGGGTGGCAGGTGAGGGGGGGGGGGGGGGGGGGGGGGGGTCCTTTGCAAGCGGCATCCCAATCCTCCAAGCCGGCAGAATCGGGAATGGACTCTGGGCCTCCTTTCCGAACCCCGGCCTTCTCTCCCTCCCCTCCCCAGTACCAGTTCACAGCCAACTTCCTGGAGATCTACAACGAGTCGCTGCGGGATCTTTTGGTGCTGCGGCCGGAGCAGAATGGGGATCTGGAGATCCGCCGAGTGAGCCAGTTCACAGAGGAGCTGCACGTCCCCAACCTCTCCTGCGTCTCCGTCTCTTCTGAGGAGGAGGTACGACGCCCTCCCCCCAGCCCCTCCCCAAACTCTGAGGGGGGGCTCCTTGTGCCTCTGTCTCCACCCCCCCTCCCTTCAGGCTCCTGGGACCCTCCCTCCTTTTCCCTTTCCAGGTCCAGAGGCTGCTGCTGACGGCCAAGGCCCACCGCTCCGTGGCCAGGACCAACCTGAACGAGCGCTCCTCCCGCAGCCACAGCCTCTTCCAGCTCCGTGTGGAGGGCAGGAACGCCAAGCGGGGGCTCCACACCTCCTGTGAGTGCAGGGGGGGGGGGCGGCCGATGATTCCTCAGGGCCCCTTGTGGAGCCCCCCCCCACCCCCTCCCCTGACCTGCTCTTCTCTCCTTGGCCCTGCAGCTGTGCTGAGCTTAGTGGACCTGGCGGGCAGCGAGCGGCTGGACAGGTCCTTGTCCACGGGGGAGCGGCTGAAGGAGACCCAGGCCATCAACACCAGCCTCTCCACCCTGGGCCTGGTCATCAACGCCCTCAGCAACAAGGTAGCAGCCACTGCCCCTCGGGCACCATGGCGGGGGGGGGGGGGGGG